CTAATTAAGGAATATTTCGCGCTAGGTAGTGAGAGCTTGCAAGGTTATGTAATATTTACACTATTCTTCTATGCGCATCTCTACACATTCGTGGGGGCATGCATCAAATTAAAATTATGTCCGTGTACATCATCGAATCGGAACATGATAATCGTACAAAACTTATGAATTCTATGACGGATTATTGGATTTGTTGTAAATGTAAGTCGTAGCTTGAAACTTAATAAACCGCGTCCAGATTCATTTACGGCAATCAAGCGCAACTTGGGGCGTAAAGTAATACTAATCACAAATTATACGCCTTGCATTAGAAACTTGATAACAATAACAATGCTCCATGCATACTTATTGGACATTAATATATCATCTGTAATTGGCGCGTATAAAGTAGGGAGGAAGGAAGGACAAAGTCAGCTTCGTGCATGGAAGTGAGAAGGTGGGCAAGAGGCGAGAGAGAGATTGATTGAAATAAAATTTATTCCGCCTAGGTGTAAACACCGTAAGGCGCATTGGCTTGTACAAATTATTATAATAATAATAATTACATATACATTTTTCGTCATTACTGTAGTATACAAGAATATTGGAGCATAAACATAGCATGAATTATACATTCATTATAAAATTAGAGTTTACAAGGTTTAGTTGATCTATAAAAGACGTATCATTAGAAGTGGCTGTTCTCTCTATGTGTCGAGATGGAAGCGTGCTAATGAGTGCTGGGGAAATGAACTGCTGGGAAATGAAATGCTAGGGAAGGGTCGATAAGCTATGTGAGTAGAGTAAAAAGAGGAAAAAGAATTGAGTATGAGTGAGGCTGAGAAAAAGGATTTGGTTGCTGTTATAATTCGAGAAAGGTTGTGTAGTTAGAGTGAGCTTCGAGGGATGAACATGTTTTTGAGCAAAGTTGTGATGTTGATGAGGATGGTAGAAGAGGGATGATTTCAAGACAGTTAGAGAGAAAGCAGGTCCTCAAGACACAGAGGCAGTAGCATTCGGCCTGAGGTTCGCTGATGAGTTGGAAGCCGTTGTAGAAGAAAGCAGTGAGTTGAATCGCATCAGGTCAGCTTCTGAACTAATTGCAGTGAGTTGAGCATCTCGTGAACGACGCATGTATATGCGCATATCACGGATCACGGGATTCGGGATACGCTTCTCCTTCCTAATGGCCCAACATTTCTGGAGAAGTCGGTACTGCGCAGATGGAAGTAGTGGTGACAAGTTGAGGTGGCTGGAAGTACTCTCGTGTAGTGCAAAGATGTTTGATGCCCTCATACTCCGGAGACTTGGTGCAGCAGCGAGAAAAGTCTCGCGCGCTATCGCCGACGCAAGGCGGATGACCATTGCTTTCTCACCACGGGCATTTGGGCTCACTCCAGCGGTAGTCGAGGCAGATGAGGCGTGTGATGGATCTGCTCGTCCAGCAGTCCACGGGCGCACAGAGATTACGTGAGGGGTGAGGCGTTCAAGCTGCAGTGCTTTGAGTATGCTCTCAGCGGTGGTTATGTCGGCAGAAACAGGCGCAGGAATCCCAGTCACACGGACCTCACACGAGTCGACTGTAGGTGTTGAACAAGTGGGTGGCACATCTGCGTCGCGTGCAGTAGAACCGAGTACTGTCATCCTCTCTTTTAGCTCGGACAGCATTTCGCTGCTCTCGTTTTGTCGTTGAGTAAGCTCTTTCAGTTCACTGGACACTCGCTCGTCCAACTGTGCAACAGTGCGAGCATTTTTCAATATAGCGGCCTTGTGCTCGAGCTGAGTCTGCGTGAATTGGTCCAGCCTCACGTTAATCTCAGCTAAACGGGCCTCCATTTTATCAAAACCGGCATGCATACTAGCAGCGAATTCCGTAAGCCAAGCCGGTGGAGTGCTGTCTTTATGTGGAGCCATGCTTTGATCTGCTGTTGCAGTCGTAAGGCAGATAGAACACGCAGTAGGCTCACTCGCACGCACTAGGACACTGCACACACGTTAATTCGCCAATGATATTCGGCGTCAAAGAGCACTGGTAGTTGATCAATCAGTTTGGCTCCTTCTTTCCCCTGAACTTCGGCTCAGTGCGCAGGCAAGCAAGAGATGGCGCGGCTCCGTGCGCAGAAAGTGAGAGAATGGCACCGTTTTGCGCTTCTTGGCCGGGCCGGACAATGATGAGACGAAAAAGATGGCCAATTTTACTAACCTCCAATGAAGAATTCCGAGCAGACTTTTCCGGTTTTCTCAAAGTGCAAGGGTGGACAAGCTTCAAGCTTGCGGCCACGACCTTGCGATGATTAGCGCGCAAGAAATATCTGGAAGAAGAAGCGCCCGTGGGCGAAAAACAGCAGAAAAAGCACAAAAATCAGGAGCTCGAAAAAACGTGTGTGTTCGTACTTACAGAGAGAGAGAGAGAGAGAGAGAGAAAGTAGTCTGGGGACTAGTAACGTCACGGTACAACCCCATAAATATGAACTAACTCGGCAAATGCTTCCTTTAGTATGCTTCCGCGCTCCTTTTTGACACCGCTATATAACTAAAATTTCGAGGTTGATGCTACTGCGGAGTAGCAACGAAAAAAAAACAACAAACATTTAATCGAGTATTTCATAGATTTTTATTTTTATTTTTCGATTGGACTTTGAATAACGCAGGACAATCACTTGGCTAATATTGAATTCGTACGCTAAGTCAACTTGTCGCCGTTGGGTTAGCGTTGCATTGGTGGGTAGCGTGGCACAGTTGGGCAATCAGCGGTGGGATTCATCTATATATGAAAATATATACGCAGAGACCAGTGGAGTAGAAACCGTGAAAAAAAAATAAAATCGGAATAAAAAAAAAAAAGAAGAAAAAAAGCAGTGCGAGACCTCTGACGAATTCGTCATTGATTCACTGTCGATCTATAGTCGTAGCAGAGGTGCAATCTATTGGCAACAGGTCCGTTTGGCGTAAAACGAAGCAAATCGTGGCCTGGCACGGCGACAGTGGCGGCGGCGGCATTGCCAAAAAGCCATGGCAAACACGATGCGCTGTGCTGCGGGCACTATATATATACCGCATGTACGCAGAGTCGGCCCCGCAGCTCCAGCACCAGCTCGCTCGTTCTTTCTCTCTCTCTCCCTCTCTCGGTCGTCGAATATTGGCTTAAAATGCAAATTGCCCTCAGCCCGGAACATTTTCAAGCTTCGGCTATCCTCGAGTAATTGAAAAACACGCGTCATCTCCGTTCTCTCTCGGTGAATTCCCGCTGTCACATGCTCATTTCTGTCTCTGTCTGTCTCTTCCTTTCTTCCACTGTGCGCGCGGGCGAATGGACTCATTTTTTTCTGAGGTTAACGCCCTCGGGTGTATGAAATTAATTACATTTTTCTACTCGTTTTTAGCACGTTTTGCGCTTTGATTCGACAGGTTGTGTGCGGTCTGTGTGTAGTACTGCCTCGTAATATACATACCCTAGCCGATGGGCGAGTGAATTGAACGCTGACATGTTGCCTTTTTTACCCTTGTTCCTTTTTTTCGGCTGGTTTTTTGTCGACGATCAAAATAAAAATGCTAGTAGAGTTTTAATTGATTGCAAAATAAAACGATGAGTCATTTTTCAACATTATGACAAATCGTGACCGCCTATATGGGCGTACCATTTATTTTGAACATCTATTGCTGCTCAAAATATTCGAATGAGACGGAAATTCAGACAGTCAGACAGAACTAATTTTGTTTTTTAAACATTCAAGACGCTGAAAAGAATATAAACTCAATTTTGAATAAAGTTAATAAGTGAATGGTTCTATCTCTTTACAAGCTTGAGATGCTTATCTGTAGGTTTCAAATATCGAGGTTTGGAACAGTTGCGTTGAACGTGCCTGCAAAACAAACTAAATGGAGATCGTTTAATTCGTTTTCCTTACAATTGACACACGCGGAATCCTCGTGAGACTCTTTAATCTCAAAGTAAATCCTTGATAATATCATCTCACTCGTTAATACCTCACGCTATTATATAAAAATCAAGCGTAAAAATGATCGAATTTAATCGAATTAACGTTTCTTTACCATGCTCAAGCTTTGTTACGGAGCATTATAAACGTTTCGTTATGACCTAACCAAAATTTTTCTGATTTTTTCAAAAAGTTTGTTGTACTTCCATAATATGATTTGTAAATTTTATTATGAATTCTTGATTGATTCTACATTTTGCGCTTACACATTTTTCGTTCCAAAAAACTTTCAATATTTGTTTTCTTTAAACTCCGCCAAAGCAAAAAATAACGATTTTACATGCTCCTCATGCAGTTATAGGCGCTGCATTGAATACCATATTAAAGAAGACAGAATATAAAAGCTCGGGTTCCTTTGTCTGCACTTGATAAAAGCTAATCTGTGATCTCAACCCAATTTCCCCCGTACCTTTAATCTTTCAAATCTTAATCTCTATCTACTCTAATATTTTCTACATGGAACGAAAAGTTAAATAGCAAAATTAGGTATAATAACTAAAGCAAGCATCAAACCCCACTCGTATTAGAGCGAGAGAGAGAGAAAGATGGAGAAAGAGCGAGACAGAGGGAAAACGTGAATGTGTGTACCAATCCCCGAACGGTTTAGTGAACAAATCCCGAAGTAAGACCCAAGGATCTTCCCTATTTCCTCTCTCTTTCGCTCTTGTCTGTCCACACGTACTCTTGCACTTTCACTTGTGCACCTGCCTTTGCCAAACCACCTTTGTGCGCTTATACCTAGTCCTACGCTCTTGTATATCTGTACATATTGTACGAGTAGAGCGCGCCGAGTCACGTAATACCTCTAAAATCTTAATGGATTAATTTCATAAAATTAGTTCGCTCTATAATTGAGCGTCGTGGAAACTTGAAAAGAGTTCAAAGCAAACTTGGTTATACATGTTACGTCGCGTTTGCGTACTTCTTTTTTTTTACTCTATTCATTGCATTCCATATGCAACATTATTATTATGACATAATTCAATGAAAAATTAAAGTGTTATTTGTTTCTTTTTGTTACAGGTAGGTCAAGTGCTTAATAATTGCTTTTATTTAAAATCTGGATAGCAAAGTAACCAAGGTGCAAATCTCCGAAAGGCAAGAAGAAGGCAAGATGATGATGGCTAATCTTCCCCCCGTTATGCTTCCTACTCTCCATGATTATGGAATGTTGGCACCAACTCTCGGAATAAAGGTAAACTTATGATAAATCGTAAAGCGCCGTCACCGGCCGTTCATTTTTGCCCCCAAAAGATATGACCGCACCCCCTGATGCTCGTATACTATACATTAAAACATTTGCTTACCGTCGAAGAAAAATTGCAGAACGATAAAAAAAGTTCAATGCCCCTCGTTTATATTTATTTACTTTTAATTTGTTGATTGAAGAACTCGCAACGGCTACGGATTTTTCAGCACGATGTTCGCCATTTCTCTTCCTCCCCCGCTCGCCGTATACACTATATACATGTATTTCTCTGTTTTCTTCAATGTTATTTACCGTGACTCGATATTTTTCTGTCGATTTTCTCTTGGGTGAGCAAGTCTCTTCGAGATTGAGAACGAAATTCTCATCTCGTACATTTGTAAATATATATATCATAAAGCTTTGTTTGAACTGCAAGTTATCATAGGTTTTGTTTTTCAATCGCAGCAATCATGCAGCCCAGCTTGCCTCTGATGTATTTCTAGAAATATAATGCGCAATTTTTCTGCTTTGCCCGTGTGCTTTATTTTTTTCCGCGATATTTTTCCACAAATATTACCTTAAACAAATAAATAGAAAGGGACAACAATCGATATTAATGGCTTATTTTACCCAAACGATTAATCTACGCGCCGCAATTTCTTCTCGCAACTGCACGCAGTTTTATTTTTGCGAAAAGAAGAAACATTATAAGCACGCCGTATAAACGTAGTGTAGCATATCCGCTGCACTTCTCTCTTGTGGTTTTACTTATTTCGTTTATAGAAGAGAGAGAGAAAGAGAGAGAGTGAGAAGGCCGCTTGTGCGCGCCAGTGTGGTGCGGTGAATTTTTTGCTCGCGGCGCAGGCGCTACTACTGCTACCACTACTACCCTTTAACCAACTGCTCTTCTCTCTGCATGGCACCGAGGTATTAATTAAAATTCTTCCGTAAATATTTGTGCGAGAATATTAGTCGCGCTGCTTGATATAACATGCGCGCATGCCTGCGTGTGCTCAGCCGCCGCCGCCGCCGCCACTGCCTCTCGCGTACGTCTATTTTAAATCCGCGTGTATCTGGAAATATGTATGATGAGTATATATATAGTTAATTCGTCACTGAAATTATGGGCGATATATGGCTCATTGTCGGCACATTCCGGGCGGTTCTTGATGCGCCGTATATGCGCGCGCGCGACTTTGGGACATTAACCCCACCCGCGCACTTTTATTTCCATTCGCTATAAGCCATAAAGTCTTGATAAATGCAACGAGGCTCGAATGATAATTTTCCTATCGTTTCGCGTGACACCGACGCTAAAGAGCTTATTGTTTGTGTACTTATATTCTCGTCGGTATTCGAGCTACAGTTCTGTTTGGAATTTTAAACGTAAATCAGCATCGATTAAAATTGAGAAAGAAATTGATGCATTTAATTCATTAATATACATTACTTTATTTAAGTACGGCGAACGGACAAAAGTGAAAAATGTTTGCGATATTTTAAGATACGAAATTGGGTAAAAAATAGTATGCTGTCACATCTGAAATTTAAATTTAAAACTACAAAAACGTACGATAGTACGTTTAATAAAAATGTCTGTACACTTATTGCGTCCATATCTGGGGTTGGAATATTTCGTTGAAATTTTTTAAATTCCATTTTCATATTTCTATTATTACATACGTACTCGACATTGCTCATTTTAGAACAAAAAACGAATCGAATCGAGCAATGAATTTTTCCTTCAAAATTAATTTTGACGGCAAAAGTTTTTTCGATTAAAACAACCTTTGAGTGTAATTTTATTTCATCCTTCAACGTATAATGTCCGATATTATGAATTTTTGAAAAAGTTACTATGCCGCTAGGAGAGGTGGTTGGCGGAATTAACGATCCACGAGTCGTTCATTCTCGTGGCCCTCTTCCCACGCTGTAAATAAAAGAATAAAAAACAAAAAAAAAACAAGCAGCAACAGTCGTATGACTCGCGAACTATGGGTAAAAGGTGCTGCTGAACGACATGCTTTCAGTGAACTCGGGGAAAGGCAATTAAAGGCTCAATGGTTTTCTCAGCCGATAATTAAAAAGATCCTTGGCGCTATACGCGGCCGCGCGAGCGGCGTTAGAAAAGACACTATCACACGGGGTGTGTGGGGTGGAAAACTTTTTTAACACTCTTTCTTTTTTTTCTATATTATGAAAGAGACTGAAAATTCCGTGTAATCTTAAGACTCGGCTGTTGGGCTTCCTCGTTCTTCCAACGCGCGGCTCGCGTCTATCCATCTTGCCTTATATTCTCTCGCGCTGTGAAAGTAACCCAGGCACACGAAACAAAAAGTTGAATAATATCAAGCTCCTCCGCTCCTGCGCTTTATAATGTATTGCTTTAATTTCAATACACAACAATGCCAAGTGCAAAACTTTTCTCTTTTCGTCGCTTCTAGTTGCTACTTTTGCGCGTGCGTTTCGCAATCACGTAACGCACGCGTTAGCCCTATGATATGCGTAAAATTTCGCGATTGACCACGAGATCCACGGATTTAGTCAATTTTTTTAAAATTTCTTTGTAAATAAAAAATGAAAAAATGTAAATCTAGAGCTGGCACGAAATAGTGTCGTAATTGCTTTATTCAAAATATAAATGAGTCGATCTACGTGCAGACAACTACGAGAGTCATGTAATATTCACGACAGGCCATCCACACGCTCGTCTTGATCACGCGCAACTATACGTGCGTGACGATAGATACTTGGCGTTTGAAGAAAACAGCAATTTCATGGTCGAGCAGAGGCTCATTTCAGTTATCTTTTTTTTTTTTTTGCTTCTAAATATTTTCCAACGCGAACTTGGCTATTCTCTAAACGCCAGTCTCATTTATTTATCAACATTGATCGAGTAACTTGATCCCCACCATGATACCTTTGTCATCGAGTTAGAGCATCGACTGCATGCAAGAGCTGTTCATGCCTGCGCGCTCAACTCATATAACGCAATGAATATCAATTAAACTTCAAGTTTGTTACGTAAATAGCCGGGGCAGAAATTATTCGGGCAGATCGACCAGATGAAATCTGTGATCAATGGGGTAATTCATACTCGGTGAAATTCAACTCACTATTAGAGCAAATTTATCGATGGCTGTCTGAAATATACGTATATAAGCGATGCGCATGCAGATGTAGTTACAAACCCACCCGCACACAGGCACATATATGCAGATCCACGTATGAATACAAGTACAGAGGACATCTTTAGCAGAGCAGCGCACATACGATATACATATAGATACAGCAGGCAGGCAGGCAGGCAGCACATTTAGAGGTGCGGTAATGCATGCATCCCGCAGATACTCACAACGGACAAGAAGAGCAAATATAGGCACCCGTAGACACTCAAATATATATACAGACACAACGAAAGCTCACACGTACGTTACATCGAAACAACACCCCCACACACGTGCACAGATGGATGCGTATAAACGCAGATATAGAGGGAGAGAAACTCGCTGGCTTTGCCCGCGCGCGCACGCGAGATCTTTCGGAGCTCCCCCCTCTGGGCGCTATACAGTTAGAGTCCCCGTGGCTTCGTTTGCATACGCAAACAGAGGAATTAGGAATAGACATGTAACGCCTTCCGCAGCCCGAGCTTTCGACGTCGCTCGCGCGCGAGCGCAGCGAATTTGGATAAAGCTTTATTGCAGTCGTCGTCGCTGATCACGCCGTCGCGTCGCCACTTTACCGATGCTGCTGCTTTTCGACGCTTTTCACGTAGTCAGAATGGACGTTTCGAGCCGCGGAGACACGAGGCTAGTGCTGCACGAACATGACCAAAACGATGGCCTATTGACCAATAATGCCCCCAGGATTATCTCTCGTTTTGCACGCCACGCAAAACAAGCGCTGCATACCTGCGCGCGCCTCTATGTTTTCATTCGATCGGAATTACAAGACCCGCGTACGCTCCAGCTGAATAAATAAACGCGGCGCCGCTTGACGGAGAGGATCATCAGAAATTTCAATTTAAAAACACCTCGATCCGCGACACATCTACTACAATGCCGAGGTGTGCCAAATCTGCAAAGTACCTCTATGAATATAGCGAGAGTATCTCTCTGCGCGCTGATAATGCGAAGGAGGACTTTGACGGGGCACGTTTGGAAGGTGCGAAAAATGCTCCTCCTCCCGTTGCCGCGGAGCTGCTCACGCTGTTGCGCTTAGCCTTATTTGAATTTTCCACGATCCAGCGAGCGCGCCGAGCTTCTATTGCTTCCGTCATTGAATATTCCATAAATAAATCGGCGTTTAATAGAAAATCGACTCCCAAGGCAGGTGTATACGGGCGGCACAGTAGCTCCAGCCTCATCGCTCACTGTCAAATGCTTCGCCATGTTTTCATGATACACACATACACCCACACTGGAACGTATATAAGTATATATCTCAATAATATTCGGTTTATAAACATTGACTGCGCCGCCAATCTCTTATTATACACGTATACGGGGCTCTTGTCACCTTGTCGATCTTCTACTTGGCTGTTATATTATATTCTTCTTCATCGTTCCCGCGCGTTTTTGCATAACGTCATTTTTCTTCGCGCATTTAAATCATTGCCATGCTCTGTTTTGTTTTGATTTGAATATTAAAATGACATCGTTTGATAAACTGCGACTGAAATGATGAATATTTCCTTTCTCAATTTCATCATTATTCACGACTTTTTTCACCGATCGAATGAAACAAATTATTTAATTTTCTTTCGTGAATTCAGTCAGAATCTAATTATGCACAAGGGCTCTGCTTGTAAAAACTATAATTCGCCAAATTAGCTCGTTATCGTTCGTAGTCACTGCCTAAATTGCGAATACCCCAATGATTCTCCCCGGCTTAATTTGCTGCCGTTTTGCAAGTTTGACTAGTCCTATCGACATAAAACGAAATTCTTTCACTCGAGCGTATCGCTGCACCGGCGTCGAACTATAACAATTAGCTCGATAAACGCC